AAAATCAAAATTCTATAATATCTTGCTTTATGATCTCTTCCATAAAAGATTACAATGATTCAAACTAGACAAAGCTGAAGAAGATAAGTTCATGTTGAATCCTTCATTCTTTCAGCATCAAATGCTAAATTTGCTGCTTCCATAATCTTATTTTAATTCAGAAATATCATCTCTCTCTCTCTCATCAATTTTTTTACTTCAACAGTTTTATTTTTCATTTTTATCAGTTATTACAGTAGCAGCAGGTGGAATATTGACATTTAGTTCATCAGCATAAATATCATCAGAAGATTCAGCAGATTGGGAAGGAAGAGATGTTGGTGATGCTGCAGTGAGTGATGGAATTGATGATCCTGATGCAAAGGCTGAAGTATTGAACTGACCATTTGCTTCTGCTTCTTCACCCATCACTGCTTTGAATGCTTGATTGATTGCATATCTCTGAAATTTATTTACAAGATTTAATTTTGATCATTTAAATGAGTTTATGACAAGTTGGCAGAACTTTTTTTTTTTTGTTCTAAGAAAAATTAGGCTTTCGTAGCACTTTTTAGGACCTATTGCAGCGGTTTAAACATCTACTAATTTATTTGCAGCTGTTTAGGAACCGCTGCAAGTCCACTGTATTTGCGTTCGCTGCAACGGCTTTAGAAACGGTGTTATGAGTGTTGCTGTAGGGAGGCTTTAGCAGCGCTTTTAGCAAGTGTTAAAATTGCTGTCTATATTTATCTACCGTGGTGTTTTTAAAATCTTTGCTATAAACTACTGTGAAAATATTAATTTTTTGATAGTGTAGGTGACAATATCTTCAGCAAAAGTTTGATCATTGTGAATATGAAAGCTCTTAGATCTGTTTTGAAAAATAGAATGCTTGGTGCATGCAATGAAGAGGGCCTTAGCTACTATCTTATATTCAAGCAAATAAAAGCCAAACTCACCTTAACTTTTGTTGCCATCTGCCAAATAATTAGACAAAAAATTAACAGTAGATCATTAAAAATAATTCAAATATTAAAAAATAAAGTTTTGAAAAAGAATATATAGGCATTTGACCACTGAAAACCATGCAGATAGACCAATTCCGACTGCTATCCACAGAAGTGGTGAGCCACTGCACCTACAATAAAAAGAAAATTGCTTTTTCACTCATGAGTTTTTTTTTTTTAATTCCAAGAATGTATATAAAATTTTAAAAAAAAAATTATTACCTTACATTTTTGATATTAGATTTGTACTCGGTGCTATTTGAGGAGTGCAGGTACTCACCAATGTCTCCCCTGTAGAAGAAGAAGCTCTAGTAGAGCTTCGCATCCCCAACTTTCTCCAGGCTGAAAAAAAAAATTGCAGAATTGTGAAGAATCTCTGCAACTATTTTCTTTCAAATAAACCTTAAATCCACATCAATTACAATCAGGAATTCCAGACTGTGCAACTTTGTTCAATTCATCGAGATTTAATGTATGATAATGAGAACTGATCCAGTTAGTGTCACATTCCTAAGCAAATACAAACTACTCTGTATTCTTGGAGAAATTATTCTGTGCGAAGTCCACACGGGAAGAAACGTTCAAACATGTAAGCGCACATATTGTGTATCAAATTTTTATACAAACAGTGTCCGGACGGTTCTTCCCATCCAGACTCCGCACAGAATAGTTTTTTCGTATTCTTGTAATGTATTCAGAGTAGATGTAAGTATGTAACGGTAAAAACTCTCAAGAATCATTAAGTTCTGATTGGTTTTGAACACCTGAAGAATCATAATTAACTACTAATTTATATGAATATGAACTGTTGCAAGAAAAATAAATAAGAACTCAGTATTATGTATGTGAAGCGATACCAGCTCCAGAAATAATCTTTAAGCGACAGCTACAAGCTCTGCTTCCATGAGCTAAAACAGATTTGCTGATCCTTGAGGCTGCAGGAACATTTGAGGCCAGGGCTTGAGCTTCCATCGGCCTTCTCAATCAGCTGAAGAAACTCTCAAGCCTCAACTACAGCTGATAGAGATAATGAAACTTGTAAATATATATTTTTATACGTATTATGTGTACTGGAGCAAGAGGGCCTACGGGACTTTACGTGCTAAATAAGAAACGTTTATTTCGCGAGGTGAAGGACCTGCACGGATTCTGAAGAGCATCACAAGGTTTTTTTTTTTCCTTTACTTTTGTTATTTGAAAGAAAATTAGTGAGTGTTATACATAGCAATTAATGAATGTTTACAATGCTGAAGTTGTGCTTCTCTGCATGACTACAATGTAATTTTTGTTATTATTTACACTGATGACAATAAAATGTGTAATCTTGAAATGAGAATGATGTAGGTTTAGGCGAGGGGTGCAATCGAGTCAATTTGACTCGCGAGCTAGCTCGAGCTCTAATTGATGACCGGCTAGACTAGTCGAGCTCAAACACAATTTTGAGCTCGACAGTCTATCGCCTTAGAGCTTGAATACCCTTCCGCTCGACTCGCGAGCTCGTCCAGTAGCTCGCGGAACGTGTGCCTGGTGGGAAAAAGGATTTGCGTATGCGGAAAATTGAAATTGCGACTGTGTTTGAGCGGAGGAGAAGGCAACGACAGATGACGAAGGCAGCGGACAAACGCTTATGACGACGGACAACGAAGGTAGCGACGGACGACAAAGCTGGCGAAGGCAATGACAGACTCTTACGAAAACGATGGCGAAAGACGACGACGCTCGCGAAGGACGACGACATCTGCGATGGAAGATGATGCTGGAGAAGTTGACGGATGCTGGGGAATACGGCTCGAACTCCCGCTCGATGAGATGGTCGACGAGCTCGCTTTTCTCTGTCTAGTCGAGCTCGAGATTGAGCTCCGTATTTGAAAGTTGAGCTCGACTAGAACAACGTCCGACTCGAGCACGACTTGACTCGTTTGCACCCCTAGTGTAGGCCAACCGGTTCAACTAATTCAACCAGGAAGGGATCCTCCATAGTGGGGCTTCGTTTGTGACAACTTTTTTATTGCTTTCTAAAGTACATTTTTTATACAAAAATTTTTAATTATAAAAATTGCTTTAGAAAACAGTAAAAAAATTGTCCAAATAAAGCATGAATCACCGGTGGATGAACTGATTTTCATTTTGAAAAGCCGTCTGATTCCTATTTTCATCAAATTATTGCCCGTTTCCAAATGAGATAGAAGCAAAGAATTTTAACTGAATAAAATTATTTAATTTTTTTATCCTTAATGTCTAATTCCTCAAACTCTAATTGGATCCAACCTTCGCAATTCACACAGAAAATTATTAGGTGCGGAGACCAGACGTAGAGATACGTCCGGACATTCACTTAAAATTTGACATGTTTAGTGCACTTTGGTTACTTTTTTTGCGCTTTATATGTGTTTTACTTACACTTTAGTTGTACTTTAGGTGTGTTTTGACAACTCTTTTGTTGCGCCTTTTTACTGCGCTCTGATTGTATTTTACATGCGTTTAATTGTACTTTAGTTACGTTTTGACTGGTCCTTTGTTGTATTTTTTTACTGTGCTTTACATGCACTTTTGTTAAGCTTGACTTAAAATTCTGCGGACACATTAAATATATAAAATAAAAAATAAATCCAACGTGTCCACTCCATATCTTTACGTCGGTGTCCGCACCTAATAATTTTCCTATTCACACATCTGGATTTCTTTTATAGCTACAAAAGAAGAGGTTAGTCACTAAAATAAATAAATAGTTTATATTTAAAATTATAGAAAAGGTTTTCTATATTTCAAGATATATATATATATATATATATATATATATTTCTTTTTTTTTTTCGGCACATGATTGTATTATTATTATGCCGTTTAAATAATATAAAGTTGTTCTAATATGTATTAATTCATTCGATTTTCAACACCTTAAAAACCTTTTAACCATCAACCTTTATTTTTCTGTTCAATGCATAGCCTAATTCATATTTAAAGAAGCTGATGCAAATCATAGCTTAAGATAAATTTGGCTTAAAAAAAGCATTATGATAATTTAGCGCTTATAAGGAGCTAAGAGAAGCTTAATCCCTCTTTAATCAGAGCCTAATTGTTCTCACTGATTCATTGATAATCACGAGTATGTCTGTTTATTGTTAGAATAGCAGCCTTATTAAGAGATATATAAGGACACATTTAAGCTTCATTTGAGACTATTTTTTTTACTGCTTAAACTAATTTTTTATGAAGCAATAAAAAAACCGTCTAAACAAGCTATAATAATAATTTAATAACCGATTTATACTCCATATTTATGTTAAAAAAAGTGATCACCTTAAAAAGAATAAAATTAAATTAAAAAATTAACAATTAAAAAATTAAAAAATTAAAAAAGTGTTAACCTTACATCTCATGCAATTTTAACTTCATTTGATATAACTTTCTTAATGCTTTTAAAATAATTTTTAAATGCAAAAAATTTTTGAATAAAAAGTTATTTTCTAAAATAATTAAAAAACTATCCCAAACACAGCCTTAGACTTTATTTAAGATAAATTTTTACTAAAGACTTTATTTAAGATAACTTTTTACTAATACTTTTTTTGCTACTATCAAAGAAATTTTATACGAAAAAAATTACTATAAAAATAATAAAAAAAATTGTTCCAAACAAAATCTTAATGAAAGACAAAATATGATAAGAGAATATAACACATGAAACAAATAATCACATGATTTCATCTTATAACCATTCTTATAAACATATTAATCACAAAATGAAAAAAATGTCATCTTTAATGACAAAATCTAAAAACATATTAGTTGATAACAGAAAACTACTAATTTAGTGCTTTAGTTCTTGTTCAAATAAGTTCTGTTAATTCAATCATAAATTTATATTATATTTATTTCAAAGCAAAAAAATCCAATAATTTTAATATCATGCTGACCAAAACTTTGGTCGAGAATGATCAAGAGCTAAGTTTTTTTTCCTTCCCTAAATTCATTGCAGAAAAACTTGCCACATTCAGACAAAGCAGAACAAAATTTGCTGTAACAATCACCATTCTTGCGTCAAGGAAATATTAAATTACAATTATAAAGTAAGAAATCATTTTGCTAAAACAATTCTGTAATCACATAATAATGGGCAAATTATTAGGTGCAGATACCGAACGTAGAGGTACGTCCGGACTCCAATAAAATATTTACACGTGGATATTTAATTGGATTTATTTTTTATTTTATATATTTAAGCCAAGAGTATCAAAAACGTAGCCAAAGTGCAGGTGAAGCGCAGCCAAAGCTCAGTAAAAAAACGCAACAAAAGAGCAAGCAAAGAGCAACTAAAGTGCAGATAAGCGCACAAAAAGTGCAATCAAATTGCACTTCACGTGTCAAATTTTAAGGGGTTGTCCGGACATGTCTCTATGTCCAATCTCCGCACATAATAATTTTTCCATAATAATGACGAAAGAAAATAACATTATGAAGTACCAATTTCCCTGTTCAAATAGTCCACAAACATCCTCTTGGCACTCTCTGCATCTGAAGGAGGAGGGCGGCCACTTAAGCTGGTTTGCCCAGTTAACTTTATAAATGTGCGCCGTAGGCTTTTTAGCTCAGGTAATCCAACTCGTCTCTCGATATTGACGTGGGCTTCATAGTCAAGGCTAACAACAAAGAACAGATAAAAGATATATTTTTAACCTTCCTTACTGTGAAATACTCTCCTGCTTCTTCAACTTTTATTTTTTACCTCAGCTGCTCGTTCCTCTTCTCTACTTCTGACATATACTTCACCCCCTCCATCCCTATCATATTATCATTTTGGTTAGGGGTGTAAATGAATCGAGTCAAGCTCGAATCCGGGAGAGTTCAAGCTTCACTCGCAAGTCAAATACCGAGCTCGAGCTTGAGCTCGCGACACAGAAACGAGCTCTTCGAGCCGCTCGATTTCGGTTTCCCACCCGCCATTTGGAATTTCCCACCCAGTTTTTCGGCAAGCAAGAAATTGTCCGAATGGTCCGTTGCTTTTTCCCTTGGATAATAAAAGGTGTCTACATGGTCGAAGCCAAGTGGCCAACGGTTGGAGTCCAACGTTGCTTTTTCACTTGGATAAACGAGCGCTTCCTAACTGTCTCTCTTGTATAAAGCATTAGCATTTAATGCTTTGACATTTGACCCTTGACAGCAATTGAGAATGAGCCGAAAATTTAATAGAATTTAACATTAACATTTAATGCCTTTTCCCTTGACATTTGACATCTAAGATTTACATTTAATAAAAATAATAATTATTTAAATTTTTAAAAATCCAAAAATTATTCTAACCGACTCGCGGGCTCACGAGTTGAGCCTTATCAAGCTCGAACTCGAGCTTGTTTACTAAACAAACTCAAATTCGAGCTCGAGCTCGACTCGTGAGCCATCTCAGCTCACTTACACCTCTAATTTTGGTGGACAATTTCATTCATTTGTGATAGAATAGTACATAAATGGTGGTGATATTGAAGAGTGATGGCTTTAAAACTCTTTCAAGGGCTAATTACTGACCCTATGTTTTCAACTCTGGATGTTTGTACTTTGGATAGGTAGATGAAGCTTATTGTGAATGTCTACTATTATTTGGTTGAATTATCAGATTTGAAGACGTGTTACTTCATCTTTCTGCAGTTCTTAAGCTTTGTGATTGATGTAAGTGCGCTACAGTGCAGGAATGTGATCAAGATGCTATTCATGCAGATCTTATCAAATTAACCATTAAACATAGTTTCGATAGGAATCTCTCAGATAATAGATTGCAATCTACAGAAGTTGTAAACTTTGTATTAACAAGAATAAACTACCAATAGTTTGAAAAGGATATAGTTGGATAGTGTTGACCAATTGAAACCTTATTTAAGCTTCCTCCAAGAGCTTGAGACTGCGCTTCTACTATGGCATTGATTACCTCCTAAGGTATGTCAAAAAGCAGATTATCAAATTGTCAGTTCTAATGCATTCATAAACAGATATATATGCCCCAATTCTACACAGAGGTACCTGGGTTGCTTTGTCCAACTCATATAGCGAATTTGCCTCTGTGGCTCGTACCTGAAAATTTCGATTGACATAACTTTTTCAGCCATAAATATAAATATAGGTAACTGTACTTTGTATGACTCTGCATGACTGCTTAGTGCATACGGGAGTCCCATCATGCATTTAATGTTGCTTCCTAATTGCTAGCATACTATTGATTTTTTTTTTTTCACTAGTAAGCAAAATATCAAAAAGTTTTATGGTCAAAAACAACAACAACCTTGCCTTTGTCCCACTACGTGGGGTCGGCTACATAAATCCTTTTTCTCCATTATGTCCTGTTAAAAGTCAAATTCTCATTTAAATCTAATAAAGAAAGTTTTATGGTCAAGTCCGTAAAAATATTTCATGTCCTCACTATACGTTTAAAGAAAAACTTTCAATGGCTGAATCAGCATATCCAGTTCATGCTGCTCTCAGTATGCCATAAACTGCAAAAGTGAACCATGTAGTAACTAATTTGGCATAGTATTTAGACATGGAAGTCATTGTGGTGAGACAAGTGCAACATTTTTTCATATTGTACAATAAAAGCAACAACAACATCAAGCCTTTATCCCATGTGGGGTCGGCTACATGAATCATTTTTTCTCCATTGTGTCAAGTTAAGAGTCAAATTCTCATTTAAATCTAATAAAAAATGTCATTTTTAATATTTTCTAACCAAATCTTTTTAGTTCTACCTCTACCTTTCTTAACATAGGTCAAATCTAATACATCTACTCTAATTGGATCATCAGAAGGCTGAATTTTTATGTGACCAAACCTTCTAAGGCGACTTTCTCTAATATTATTTGTCACTGGAGCTACTCCAACCTTTTCACGTATATGTTCATTTCGTAAATTGCCTCTAAGGGTAAAGCCACTCATCCACCTGAGCATCCTCATCTCTACAACACTTAACTTAGTATTATGCTTATTTTTTAATGGCCAACATTCTGCACCATAAAGCATTGCAGGTCTCACCACCATCTTATAGAATTTTTCCATAAGTTTAAGGTGTACTTTCCTATCACACAACAAGCCCAATGCATTCCTCCACTTCAACCATCCAACTTGAATTCTACTAATAATATCTCCATCTATTTCACCATTACATTGAACGACATATCCGAGATATCTAAAACATGTACTCTGATTAATGACTTGATCGCTCAATATTTCAATATCAAATTCCTCCCACTAGATCTATTACTATTAAAATTACACACCATGTATTCAATTTTAGATCTACTCAAACAAAAACTTTTAGACTCTAATGTTGACCTCCATAATTCAAATTTACCTTCAACTCCATCTCTAGTTTTATCAACAAGAAGAATATCATCAGCAAAAAGCATACACCAGGGTACATCCTCTAGCAAATGCCTAGCAAGAACATTCATGATTAAAGCCAAATGATATGGGCTTAAAGCTGATCCTTGATGTAATCCAACTGAAATAGGAAAATACTTGGTCAAACCACCTTATATTTGAACACAAGTAATAGCTCCTGCATACATATTCTTAATGATTTGAATGGAAGCATTATTAACCCTTTTCCTTTTTAGAACTCTCCAGAGCATTTCTCTTGGAACTTTATCATAAGCTTTCTCCAAATTAATAAATATCATATGTAAATTTTCTTTATTCTCTCTATACTTCTACATCAAACGTATCAATAAATATATAGCTTTCATAGTAGACCTACCCGGCATGAACCCAAATTGATTTTAAAAACATTAGTATCACGTCGTAACCTATGCTCCATAACTCTCTCCCATATTTTTAAAGTATGATACAATAACTTAATTCCTCTATAATTCGCATACTTTTGTTCATCACATTTACTCTTAAAAATAGGAATCAACACACTCCTCACTCATTTGCCATCCTTTTAGTCTTTAAAATAGCATTGAAAAGTTACTTAAGCCAACAAATTCCTTCATCTCTTAAGTATTTTCATACCTCTATTGGAATATTATCAGGTCCAACAATTTTTTCACATTTTATTTTCTTTAAAGCTTCTCTAATTTCAATTTTACTAATACGATAAAAATTTTAAAAAAATTATTTTCATTTAGGGCGCTAAGATCATTAAAGTTAATCGTACTCTCACAATCTTCATTGAAAACCTTACCAAAATATCTCATCCACCTTTGTTGAATATCCTCTTCTAATAATAGCATTTTTTTTATCTTCATCCTTAATAAACTTCACTTGAACTAAATATTTACTTCTCCTATTTCTTTTCTTAGCTTAACTTTTATCATATTGACTAAAAAACTTCCATGATCCAGAATGTCTTAAGTTAAGACCAAATTACTTTTTAATCAAAACATTATACTAGAATATGAGACAGGATAGATTGATAAATGATTATATTAGAGAGACATTAGAGTAGCATTTATTGAACAAAGGCAATTGAAAATAAATATGGGTGGTTTAAGCATTATCCAACAAAGGTAAGGAGATGCACCACTAAGATGACTAATAAAAATAACAAAAATAGAATTAAGAAGAATAAGATGTAGACAGAATGCACCTTGGACAAAAGTTATGCAATTAAATTTAACACTTAAATATAGCACTCAATAAGGATAAATGAAGAATAAGTCAACCAAAAATAATTTGGATTAAAATAATGATTATCATAATGATTGAAGTATGTAAATTTGATGATAATGTATATGAAATGTACTTGATTACATCTGAATATATCAGTGATTAAAAATTCATATGATTATAACTGGGGAAGATTTGGCAAGCATCACAAAAATTGATCTTGAATGGTTATATTTGGGCAATAAGGTAGCTTGATCATAGGATTGCCTAGCCTTATTGAAGAATATTCACAATATTAATCCCATCCTTGGGACCTACATGCATGTGCATTCATAAATACTTAGCATGCATCCTATAACATTTCAAACGGAAATTGATAATTTCCTAAAACCATGGTATGAAAAACGCTTCTCACATGTTCACTAACAATACTTACATTCTGTGTTGCAATAGTAGGCTGAAGAACTCTAATATCTCTTGTTCTTGAGTCCACCTTTCTAGTCAGGTACGAGACAGCATCTGCAATAACTGGAGATGATTGCTCAATTCCTTCTGCAAAACAAGCAAGGAAACAGAATAACATTCTTTAAGAAACTGGTTTTGGGGGAGAACCATGTCCGGGTCAGCTAGGCACTTTGGCTGAATTTGATCAAAGTTAATAATATCTGTAGGGGCTTAAATACATGTCAACATCAATATTAAACTTATTAAAAAAAGTCTGAGATTGATCTAAGAAAAATGATAACATGTTCGGAACAATACAATAACTCAAAGCAGTTAGTCATTTTTTTTTATCTTCCTTGGATTCCTCTCACGTAGTGGGATAAAGGCTTGATGTTGTTGTTATAATCTTCCTTAGATTACTCTTCCAAAATCCACCATGAAAAGTACTAATGAGTACCGCCTACATCTATTAGCCAATAATGAAAAGTACTAATGAGTACCGCCTACATCTATTAGCCAATAATGAAATTACGGTTTCATGTAGAGCTTTATTAAAAATAAACCTCAATCGAAAGCTTTAGTTACAGCAGCAACGACACAGTTGCAATAACATCTAAAAGCACAATATTAAGGATAACTGCAAACTTTGTAGGGAAATTCTTCAAAAAGATTGAACATACATAAAACATTGATAAGTAATGTTTTACCGAAGAATAAAGATATGAAAGCATAAGCTCCATTAGTGTCATAAGAGATCGATCAATTTTATTACAAAAAATACCGAATCCTAGACAGGCATAACAATGACTTGAGTGAGCAGATATAAAAAGACTTCAAGTTAAATATACTTAATAAGCATGCATTACCCCTAGATGGAACCAATTCAAAAAGAGGGCAATCCCAGCGGTTCCGGCGGTCGGGCCTCTCAAATCTGCTCACAAGGTCATCAAATCTGCAAGCGAAGTCCTTTCAGTTATTCCAAAAATGATTGCACGCTATATCCTCCTAAATTTAGCAAACAAGAACACAGCACAAAACAAAAATGGATTCAAATCTCTCAAGGTATGACGTAAATTGAGCCTGTTTATCTTGAATATATCAAATTAAAATAAGGAAAGTACACTTTAAAGCTTCACAGAAAAATGTTCAAAATGCTTTCGATCCCAGAGATCCATATGATGACATGAGACAAAAAACTTCTAGGCAGGTTCCTGACGTTGATAACTCCAGACCAACAAAACCCACATATGAATTGGGGTCCCCCCCTCTTTTGTCTCTCTCCTGATTGGAGGACTTGTTTGTTTAAGACTCAAGACCAACCAATGCCCACATCCCCACACATCAATATGGACTTTATTCCCCCATCTCTATTTAGATCAACTGGAAAAGTATTTGTTGGTCTAAAACTTCAAGGTCGCACAATAAAGCTGATTACAGCATGCCCATACACAACGCCTTCGGACAAATTGACATATATAGAAAATTTCTTCTTTTGTCCCTCTGGTAAATGGAAACTAATTCGTTTAAAACTTTAGGAAGGGCGACTTCTCAAGGCAATCTATTGATTGACAACTCAGCTACTCAACTACTCAGTAAATGGGTATATCAACTCAATTTTTTTTTATTAGGGTTACGTTTATATTTTCTCGAATTCATCATTCAAGAATGACTTCAACTAGCCAGCCTCAACAAACAATTCATCAACTTTTTAAAAAAGTCACTTCAATGAATTCCCTAGGCATAGCTGATGTTGCACTATGAATATCTCAAGAACACTCCCTCAAATTGGAAGTAGATGTCTTCTCCTTATCAGTTTCGCCCAACAAATTACTTCAAAGTTTCTGGCACTAGACTAACTAAATTCAAAGGGGTTTTAGAGTCATTCTCTGTAGCCAACTCGACCAAAGGGAAGGTTGGAAGAGAAATGATTTCATTCAAAAAACTTGAAGAAGTCTTTTCAACAGGATCCAAGTAAAACTTTCTTGAATATGGAGTTGAAGAAGTCCTCTTTTCAATTAATTTTGGGCCGACTTCAGTACTCAACCCTTCAAGTATTTCTTGTTCAACAAGCACCTCAGCGATCTCAACTACCACTAATTTAATAGTAGGTTGGGCGACTTCAGCCTCAATTATTGCAGTAGACAGCATAACGACTTCAATTTACTCAAATTTTCATGGGCAGCTAAGTAACATTTGTCTCCGATAGATCAACTACTTGGACAAATTCTATTCTTTTACTTTAAAGTCATTGATGAGTAAGAGGTTCAGCAATAGGCGTTTCACATAAGAGCTCGTTCATAGAGAAATAATTGCTTTAAAATGTGATAAGTAAAATTAAAATTTTGAAATTCATTAATAGAAATTTTTATTAAAAAAATATTTTTTTACATTCTCTCCCAGCTTGAGGGAGATCAGTCGCTGGCAAGGCAACATCCCTTCTCACAGCAATAGGAGAAGAATGTTGGCCGGTCATAGCTTTCGACAAAGTACCAAGTTCTTGAATTTTGCCTTTGGCCTTTGTCTCTTCAACCTTCGTTTTCTTCTTCTTTTAGAAGAAATTCCTTCTTTTGTATGCCAAATAAGCTAGCAATAATATCTTTGATTTGAGATATTAATCTTATCCTTTAGAACAACCATTCTTTAAATGGATGAGGATTCGCTGAACTCAAAATCAATTGAAGAAAGAAAGAAATGAAAAACCAAACATTTGAACACGAAGCAATGATCCTATGTCTCAGCTGACCAAAACAAAAGAATAATGTTGGATGTCAACATCAAATTGATAAACTAATATCTAATATTAAAATAAGCAATTATGAAGGATTAATGATTAATTAATGAGGAATATTTTTTTATTCTTTTATTCTTTTGGTAGTAAATCTCCAAAGATAAAAAGGAATCAAAGAACTAAATGTATATCCAAATATTCAAAATACCCAGTTTAAGCAAAATCAAGCCAATTTAAGCCAAGTTAATTTGATCTACTCGGTCTCCTACTCACTAACCTATAAGAGAAATCACCTCAAGTAAGCGGCCATATCAATTTATGAAGTCAGCTCTGACGGCTGTTCAAGAAGCAGCGATTTCTCTAGGCAAACTATTGATTAATAACTCAACTACTTTGCAAACAACTACATAACGATCAAGCCCCAACCCAAAACTATAAATAGAGAATCAATGGGTGAGATCAATTTACGCAATTTTTCACTATTATGGAAATTCCAGAACTTCTAACTCTCTAACATTCTTCTTTCTCCCTCTATTTTATGTTCTCTTTTTCACTCAAGATTCTCAATATAGCAAGGTATGATTCACCGACATTTTTGGACTCAAAAGATTTGTTTGTCTGCAACTCCAAGTTCACACAACAAAGTTTATTGTGATGCACACATGCACACCATGAAATAAATGGACTTGCCGAAAACTTTAGATCTACATGTTCCATGAAGTGAGCTTTAAATTTAGTGAAGAATACAAGGATTGAGTGAACCAATGCGTTCTATGAAAATTTTTTTAACCATGTCTAAAATAATAGACAAGTGAGAGTTTACAAAAACTTTAGGGTTCTAGTTGTAATTTAACCTAATAAGATTTTTATAACACAAAAGCATGTATAAAGAACTTTAAGAATCATTAAATTAAATATAGTACTCACATTTTAGGATCATATGAAGATTCTTCATTTTCCCCACGCTTATTGTTCCATTCCTTACAGTAGTTCTCTCCAGTATCACAATAAAGCTGAAGAGTGAAAGTGTTAAGTCAGCATACCACCACCTTTAGTTTGGAGCAAATACCAATTAGTAAATTAACTGCACTTGCCAATAAAATTAATGAAGTAATGCATGCGTACAGACAAGTACACCTCAACTGAAGCAATGGAATTAAATGGCAACAACAGAAAACCATCTTGGGAGCTCATACCTATTGCTATCATTTTGTACGCTTTAAAAGATGAGGAAAAAGATTTAGGAAAGATAGGCTTTCGAGGCTTTTTAGATTCCACAGGACCCTATTGACGTGTGTATGTGGGAAACTTTGAATAACAGATTGGCTTTCTTTTACTTTCATAGAAGTTCATTCTATTCCAGCCCTTTTATACAAATGCATGACTAAATAAACAAGAACATGCTCAACTATATGTTAGACCGGTCCATTGGACCAGTCGAGCCGGTCCATACGGGACCGGCCCGCGGAAACAGAGGCGGACGTTTTCCGCCTCTCTGTGCTGCCGACCGAACCGCCGGATCCCCTAGAGCATATTAGGAAGGATTTTTGAGAAAGTTTAGGAGGGAAATTGAATGTAGGGGCTGTTTAGATATTTCCTTTTGAATTGTATGCATTAAATAGTTTGTTTTCCTAGGGTTAGGATATCTTGAATTTGGATGAAATTTGAGATCTTTTAAGTTTAGGTTTCCTTTGGGCTCTAGCGGCGTCTAGAGAATTTGGGAGAGATCGATCCTCCTCCCGAATTGAGGATCAACTGTATCTTGCTATCCATTTCTATTTCATCAAATAATACAAATTATCTACTGTTTTCGTGGTTTTGTGTGGATTATTGTGGATAATTCTTGCTATTTTCTGAAGATTGGTAGGAAATACTTGATATCTACAAGTGTTTCTAATCAAATTGGTATCAGAGCAAGTCTTGGGACCGTTGCTAGGCTGATTTTGGCGAATTTTAGCAGTTGAATTTTGGCCGGTGAAGGAGGAAGTTGCTGTTTTTGTGATCCAAATCCAGATTTTTAGAATCTACAAAAATCCGGATAGAGATGGCGGCCAAGAAAGTGGATGAGTTGGAAGAAAGACTTGAAGGGTATATGAACCAAATCAAGACAACGGTGGAGGACAGGATTTTCTCCATGGAAGGACAAGTAGCTGATCTCCGGGACATGATGAAGAAAATGTTAGAAATCCACAACCAAACGGCGGCTTCAGCAGCAAAAGGGTTAGAAGGGAAGAACACGAATTCTGAAATTCATGAGGAAGATGAGGTGGAGATCGTGGAGGGAGAAAGAAGAAAACCCTATATGGAGACTTTTCATAGGGAGGATAGAGGAGGTAAGTATGGGGAAAGTGTTATTGATCAAGTACTTCAGCAGCAGTTTCCTTCGTTTTACCTTGAGGACAAGGTGGCACTTTGGAAGGGGAGTATTGTTAGACCGGTCCACTAGACCAATCCAACCGGTTCATACGGGACGAGCCCTCGGAAACAGAGGCGGACATTTTCCGCTTCTCTATGCTGCCGACCGAAACGCCGGATCCCCTAGAGCAGATTAGGAAGGATTTTTGAGGAAGTTTAGGAGGGAAATTGAATGCAGGGACTGCTTAGATATTTCCTTTTGAATTGTATGCATTAAATAGTTTGTTTTCCTAGGATTAGGGCATCTTGAATTTGGCTGAAATTTGAGATCTCTTAGGTTCAGGTTTCCTTTGGGCTTTAGCGTCCTCTAGAGAATTTGGGAGAGATCGATCCTCCTCTCAAATTGAGGATCAACTGTATCTTGCTATTTTTCATTTCTATTTCATCAAATAATACAAATTATCTAATGTTTTCAGGGTTTTGTGTGGATTATTGTGGAGAATTCTTGCTATTTTTTGAAGATTGGTAGAAATACTTGAGATCTACAAGTGTTTCCTATCACTATATGTCCGACTAATACGATACAAATGATTCCTAACAGATATGAAACGAAAGATACAAAAATATCATGAGAAGCTATTCGATTTTGCAACTGCATATGATCTTGAAATTGTGAAGTATTGTAAAAATTATGATCACTACTCACTTCAAACATTAGAGTAATTAAATAAAAAATAGACTTCGATTAAAATATTAAAGAGTTGTAATAATTGCAAGTTGATTTCAAAAAAAAATGACAAATATATAGAATACTAGTTTTAAATGTATATTTTAAGAGTGCAAGGAAAATAATACCATTTTACTAGAGAATTTAAGATTAGCATATCAAAAGATGGTAAACACAAACAAATTTACTGTTTTATATGCAAACTAGAAAAAACAAGACACAAACCATAATGCAATGATCAAATAAACCCCAAAAAATCAAAAAGAAATTCGAACTGCACAAAAGAGTAGAGAATTGAAATTTCTTCACCGCAATTAAAATGTTAGTTGTATAAAATTTGAATATAATCAAGAACTCCAACAAGCTAATGAGAAAAGAGATAAAGGTAAGAGTTGGCAAAAGTAAAAGTAATATAGGACACATTTCAATCCAAGGAATAAGTTCCCATGAAATTAGGTAGCTAAACTTCCACACCTCTCAAAGAAATCACTCATCCAACTTGAAAACACATGATAGAAAAAAGAAATTTGAAATTTATTAAATTAAAAAGCTATCTAATGCGGGGCAATTTATTATCTTAGATTAAATAAAATTTATTCTACATTTCAATCTTCGGTAAAAAAAATCGAATTAGTGATTCCTTAGAGAGCACTATAAGTGCGACTATATAATTTTGGGATAAGTCATCTCCTTATACCAACACAAGACCTAAATTTTTTCAGTGAATACCATTATAGATCTAACTTCTTCTCATTGTTTAAAATTGGGTAGCATGAGGCTTGTCTTGAGACCCGCCTCAGCACAATTCTAATGAAAAATACCTCCAAGCTTACGCCTCAAGCTTTTTTTTTTATGAGGCATGTGCCTCAGCTTAGCTGAGGCCTTCCTTGAGACGAGCCTCGCCTCACCCTATTTATACATTTTTTTACAAAAATCCTAAGCTAAAGCCCCGAACAAATCGCGCCTTCATGCACCCCTAACCTGTAACAACTTCCTCTCGACTGCCTCGCTACAAGGATGAAGCTTCACTAAACTCAAACTCAATCAAAGGAAGAAGGAATCAAAAGAAGCAATCATTTGAATAAGAAGCGGCCATGATATCTCTTTTATTGAATAAATATTATCTGACGTGGACAAATGGACAATGTCCGAATTTAACATCAAATTGATTGACTAACATGTAATAGTAAAAAATCATTTATTAAGAGTTGGTGATAAATTAATGAAGAATATTTGTTGTACTCTCTTATTCTTTTTTGCAGTAAACCTTCAAAGATATAAGAGAATCAGGGAACTAAATATGCATCCAAATATCCAAAAATCCTAGTTCAAGGTAAGACAATATGGTTTATGATAAAAAAGGCAGTCCAAGTCAAATTAACTCACTAACTTTCATACCCACTGGCTTAACATAGAACTCACCTTAAACAAGTGACTATGATCAATGAATTTGTCCTAGTAGGCAAATAAAGGCTAACAATTGGCCCTGACGACTATTATCTATAAAGTCAGCCTTGGCAACTACTCAAGGAGTGAAGACTTATCAAGATAAACTATTAATCAAATAATTGACCATATGATTATCAAGTCAACCACTTCTTCCAAGATCGGCAAATGACTTCATATAATCAAACCTGATGATCAAGTAATACAATTATTATATTCTCTCCTATTTTTTTATATAGTCATTTATGTAACCAATTTTATAACACTAAAACTCCAAGCTTGATCTATAAATAGGGGGTCGAGGGGTGAGCTCAATTTATGCAATTTTAACTCAATTTATCTCTAAAACTCAATTCTAAATAGTCAAGCCCATTTTACTAAAATTATAAGGCTTCTTCTCTAGAATTCTTCTTTGTATCTCTACTTCCTTCTTCTATTTTTCATTCAATATTCTCAATATAGTTGGATGTGATATGAATATTTTTAGATTCAATGCATGTTATCTCAAAATAATATCTTCTTCCTTATATAGCCATATTCCCCACTATTTCATATAATAGTAAAAAGTTTCTTGTTCTTAACATAAAAACCTTATACTTCTCTCTCATAATAATATTATCAAACTTTTTTTTTAATAATACAAAATTGTCGTAAATATTTTATTAATTGATAATAGAACACAAGGACATTTGCAAATCAAATTCTCTGAAAGGAACAAGAGAATATTTAGTTCAAGGAAAGTCACTGTCCAAACTAAAACTTGTGACCTCTATCCTGTTGCAATAGGAAGCATGCATCTTTTTTATAGCAAATCTTTATTTTTTAACTATTCAAAAAAAAATTGGAACCAACTTTAGTGATTTTCACTAATTATTTTAATTTTGAGGAATTCATGAAGAATAATAAAATAAGGGATAACCAGCTAAGGCATGAATTTCTTTTTTTTTTTTATTAATTTGTTGTGAATTTCTAATTATATCATTAAGAAAATATCACTTTAATCAATTAATTAATTGCCAGTAATTAAATGTGGGTATCGCTTTACTAAAGGTTTCTGGATCGAGAATTGAAGTATGCATTCAATGTGGTATATAGGTCAGGGAGGACATCATAAACTATCATTAGCCATGCGTGCATGTAGATTTACCAATCACGAGTTGGAACCAAGTAATCTCAATAATGAATATCACTAATAATATTTATTAGATATATTAATTTGCTTATGCTTATGGTATCCCTCGTAATACAAATGCATCTAATTAAGGCTTCGTTTGGGACAGTTTTCTTCCTGCTTCTTAAAGCGACTTTTTAGTATAAAAATTTTAATTTTTGTACTAGAAAGCCGCTTTAAGCAGTAAGAAAGCCGTCCCAAACAAAGCCTAAAGGACATTACCTAGGCATATGAAATTCTTGTAAAAGCGCATATAATATTTCATAGAAAGAGATTGCATGGCTAATTACCACACAGTATCGTATTCCAGCGGCTCTAGCAAGGCACCACAGCTCATATCTATAACCCTGCACATTGGACAAAACGAAAGATATTGTAAAAACATATAGAGAGACCACAGAATTAACAATATTAAGGCCATGAATATCATTGTAATTCTGCTAACAGTATGCTACTGTATGAGAGTATCATTTAAAGTCTAAGCATGACTGAAGACAAACCTCCAATGGTTGCGGATAGTTTTTCATCATTGAGACAAGTGATACAAAAACCATTAGTCAATAATAAGTCAACAGACTCGAAACTAATTTTGCCAAAAAATTTATGAATAAATCAGAAAACTTTTATTACAGATGCCATTTGACAAAGAGGTACAACTACGCATCAATAGTAAAACACCCATACAAAAGAATCAAAGTACAACAACTAGAAGGACACAAAATACAACAGGTTTTCAGATCTAAATCAATGCGAAAAGGATTGTTCGGGTTAGCATATTCAAAAAGTAAATTATGTTCTCTCAAAACCATATCATATTAAACTTATTACATCATCGTGTTGCTAAGATTAAGCATGAAAAAAAAAAAACATTCGTGATGCTGAACATCTTAAGGTCTAAGATTTCAAGTACAATTAAATGTTGCAATAAGTGAAACTTAAGCAATCAAAATTTAGAACAAGTAATGTAAAAACTATCGATAAAGCAATCAATCGGTTTCTTTGATGAAAGCCAGAAATTATATAAAATTTATTCCAAATGATAAACAAATGATCATCGAAAATAGATACTAAATATTTTTTTTAAATTAAAAAACAAACCTGATCATTTTTCACACCATAACAAGAAAATCATCATCACATTTTTGACTAAAATCAATCATACTGACATGTAGGCGAAAGAGAATAAGGTAAGAGATCAACAAACACAAAAATTCAAACCTCATAATGGTACAAAGAGTTGACCTCCCTAAAATTTAGTAATCGCACTTGCACCAACATCAAAAAAGCACACAAGTTTAAGGAAATCTGAAATTTTATCAAACCAAATACTAAAGATTACATGCCTGATATAATTACATACATATGATTTCCCAGGCTAATTCAATTGCTTTAAATCCTCCAATGGCTTAAATCTGACACGTCCTACACTATTGATCATAGCGAAATTCAAAACCTGCAATAATAATTAGTCGCATAGAATACACAATTCCTCCTTGGAACTGAAAGCCATGCTATGGCTATTGGACACAGCACTGAGGTTGCAACAAAGTCGGTACCCTAACAGTCGTGAGGGGTAACATCATGGATAGAAAGTAGAGACAATAAGGAAGCCGGTTTCGTGCATAGAAAATAAAGGCATAGTTGTGGGATGGGGGAGGGGTTCCACGCCAATCTACATGTCTTGAAAAAAATACAGTTATAATGAGTCATGCATTTGATATATTGTAAGAAAATAAAGGAATAATTGTTTCACTTCCTGCAATATAATCCATTAATCCTCATATAAAGGTTTGCCATGTGAATGCACATATTATCTTAAGAATTAATCATTAGTAATGAACATCATTCATGACATGGTATGGTTTCAAGAACAAGTAAAATAATTTGGTAAAGTGATAGATGTACTCTCAAATAGGAAATTGAAAAAGAGAAAAATCCAAGCTTTATAATAGCAGGTTCATAAAGTAAGCTAAATCAAATACATCAAAGATTGGACCAACACCAATACTTGCCAAAATTTATTATATATAAGCATTCATCCGAATGTGTAGTAAGATTTTATTGGCCCCACCTTTCTAGCGCTTAATTGAGTAAAGGTTCATGTGAAAAACTTTGAGAATTAAGACATACCATTACTTATCACCTAAAATGAATTCCACATATCTACTATTTGCATCAAAAATATGTATATAATTGTCATGATTAACAACTCTTTTTTTTTTAAATCTTCATACAAACTAGGTAAATCACAAAAATCAAACTAATGCCTAATCTAACATAAGGCGAGTAATGAAAATTTTAAAATTATAGCATGTGTTCCAATGGATATTAATAAAGACACAATAATCAATTTCTAGAAGATGAGAAGATAAAAAAAAATCAAAAACAGACAAACTATATAAAAATGATATGCATATGTTCCTATGTGGATGAATAATCTAATGAAACTCAAAGAACTAAAATATTTTCATAAGAAATTTTTTTATTGATAAGTCATCAATGGATATGCTAATAGATAGCTCAATCAATGATATTAGATATAATTGATCCAATTTTATATTTAGAATTTTTTTTAAGTTAATCCTCAAATTAGAGAATGAATTTTTTTTTTTTAGAGGCAGTAATGATTATTGAAAACATTTATGCCTACATGTGTTTGCCATTTTTAGTGACATAGAATAAAAAGAATTTTGATTATGTCTAGTAGATCATTATGTGCATGCCTTATTGTAATTCTAGTTGATGGGATTTGTTAAAATAGGTGAAAAGTTAGACTGACATAGAAAATAATTAGAATATAAAAGATATAATATTAATATATGATATCCAATGAACTATTATGAGAGAAAACTAGAGAAGTATAGAAGTAAATATATACATTCTTTGTTATTTAGATTAGAGGTTAAAGAAATATTATGGGAGCTAATTAGGGAATTAGAGAAGTAAATAGATACAAAGAAGAACCAACTTTCGTTATATGATATCCAATGAATTATTGCAAATCTTTCTCTTAATGAACCAAAGTTAGAAGCAATGATATTCAATGATGATGATATTGAAGGCTAAAAACAAACCTCTGAAGCTAATACTAATAGTTCAAGCTTGAATAATTGATGTTGTAGTAAATGGTTATTTGTTTATATTTTTGTTTTTGAACTATATATTTTGTACTAAACATTTTATATTATAAGCTAGACAAGTTATCATGTCATTCATTTATTATTGTTTGTCATTTCTAATATGATGTTACATCAATATCTATACACTATATAAAAAAATGTAATGTCGCGTCTGCGCCTTACCCGTGTCCTATATTTTCAAAAAAAAGTCGTGTCCCGTGTCCGTGTCATCGTGTCCATGTCCGTGCATCATATAACACATGAAGTCCTGAATATATGAGGATATATTTTCTCCACCAACAATCCTGCAGCTCTACATATTGGTGCATTATTAGTGATAACATGCACAACATTTGATGGCCCAATCATCATTATCACCTCTTTAATCAAAGTGAAAATAAAATATTTATCCTTGTATTGTCCTTCACAATTTATAGTTTTAATGAACATTGGGTAATTCTCTATAATAATTATGAAATTGATGAGTAACCTTCTTTGAGGATCAGTATAACCATCACACACCACACTGACACTTTTTTCCTTCTACACTCATTTCATAGGTTCAAGTAATATCTCAATATTTGCTCTCCCTCAATAATAATTTTGATCTTATTGCATTGTATCTAGGTGGAATATAACCTGCAAGACTGTTATTTCATGCAAAAGTAAATGCGTTCTTATAATAAGAATTCCTTGCAATGTTTAAAGGAAGTCCATTTGAAAAAAAAAAACATTCTTGTAATTTCACCAAGTTGCTCTCGCATATGTATATTAAATGTCTTCTCTAAAGAACTACTAACAACTCCTCTTTTCTTAGATTCATATCCTTCACTCCTAAATGAACCAACATGATCAACTCTAATGGAGGAGGAAGCAGCGTGGGATTAACCATGAGTAGAGCCGTAGAGGACAAAGATATATCTTTAGGAAGTGCCCTTTTGATCCTTCATTCAGCTACATCAACCTGTCTGATCAACTCTATCAACTATGAAGTAGTAATCTTATGACACATTTTAATTCTATGACCACAAATTTTAAGTAGATGTACTTTCACCCTAGAATATGATATTTTGTAGGTACGCCAAAATAATTGCATTTGAATGAAACATTTCCTCTACCTTCAAAAGTTTTTCCTAACTTTGTAGCATGATTCCATAAGGACTTATTGGCTTCTACATAAGGCTCTGTTGAACCTTCGCTGCTTCCAATCACACCACCACCAAAGCTCATTTTGCTTTTAAAAAAACTAATACAATGTAAGATAAAAAAAAAAATCTTAGCATTAGCCAATCATAGGCTTGGAGACTTGGGTTTTCTAAGTTTCAAGGGATTTTAGCATGCCGAAGAAAGTGTCCAACAGTTCCGGTTGTAGCACCTCTACCATGAAGAGATAAAGGCCACTGAAATGGAATGGGCTACTATCCAAATTGCTTCGAGTGCTGCCTACGCCATTACGAGCTCGCCAGAGACGATATTTGAGGAGGAAGAAGCTCCTATAGCAGGCAACTGACCTCCAAATGCCTTCATTGTCCTCTTATTCCCCGTCTTTTTATTTTAGAGGAAGAGAGAAGCATCCCATAAGCTCTTGATATAGTCATTTGAAGAACGAAAAGCCGCACACACACCCAACTGATGAACTCCCCACTCAATCGATCCAGGTCACGTGCACGAGAGGCTTCGGCGTCTCGATTTCAGCTCCAAAAACACACGAGCTGTTGCTCGGCTCTAAGAGTCGCCTGTAAGAGGAAGCTTCTTCACCTTTTGTGCTCGGCTTTGGCTCCAGAAATCAACGGAGACTCCTAAATTTGTCCTAGGTCGTACGCACACAAAGGTCCAGACGCTCGTTCTCTCACTCGACCGACCCAGACGCACTCCCAACCAGTCAATTGGTTGTTAGATCAGTCCCAGGAGTACGCAAGAGCACCCATAGCCGCTCAACCTCCTTCAAACGCATGCACAACACTCGTCTCCCTCTCACTCTCTCCGTCTAGACACACGCATAAAGCAAAAAAAAGAAAAAACAGCCCTCTCCCTCGCTCGGCTTCCTCTATGCACAAAACAAGGACCCCGCTGCTCGATCCATGCTATAGCCTCCCAAATCTGCTTGCAATCGAGAAAATATTGCGATTAGACAGAAGGACAATGGCACAGGTTTGAAATTTGAGGGCAATCGTGACCATTCATCACAATTACTTGATTTTGGAAGCTGATTTGAGCTCCAATTGAGT